AACGCTGAGCAATTAAAATAAGCACAGAGCCCTTCTTTTAAATAATGGTCTGACTCATAGCTGTTATTGTTTACAATATATCCTACATAGCCTAAACTACATGAAAAGTTCTCAGGCTCAGCAATTCGTTTACCCCATTTAAGGAAAAGCTTAGATGACTGCCAGTTTCCTACAAATATTAGCCCAGGGGTTTCTGAAAGTAATATGCACCCCTTAATTATATCAGATGTATGCCAAGTGTCCCCTCCATTGTATATAAAACGTATATAAAACGTATTAACAAACAAACAAGAACATTAGGAGACTGATAAATGTTTTCAAAGTATGTTAAGGGGGAAAAGTGCACCATTGAGCACACTGGCAACTTCCTATATAGACAGATATTATTATTATTATTATTATTATTATTATACAGGATTTATATAGCGCCAAAAGATATATAGATACACAGATCTAACAATAAATTGAAAGAAAGATTGATTTTGATCAAGCGTATAATATATAAACAGATCGATATACTTAATGTCATCAGCTTCAACCTGCAGATAGATAAATAGATAGATGATATATAGATAACAATAGATAGAGATAGATGGATAGATAGATAGATAGATAGATAGATAGATAGATAGATAGATGATAGATAGATAGATAGATAGATAGATAGATAGATAGATAGATAGATAATAGATTTACATTATAAACCAATACATCTGACACACACACATATAAGACTGGAATATACATACTGTATATGAGAAGTAACATGCAATAGATTTGGAGTTGGGCTTCTATACATAACATTTTATTTTGCAGTGAGGTGTTTGAACATGCCAGCAGGACTCGATGCCTTTATATAAGGAATTTCTATGGTGGCTATCCTTGGCTCTGTAGTTTCACTGAAGCCTCTGCAGTAGAACTTGCACTGATTTATCATGTATTAGGTGCACATTGGATCTATCCTATCCGCTGTTTGTCTGTCCAGGCTCTGGTTATAGTTGAAGGGAGCCCCGTCTGTCTGTCTGTCCTCCTAGTTGGCTTCCAGCAGCAGCAGCAGCAGCAGGTCCCTCTCTGTTGACACACTCTGCAGGTGAAGAGCTCTCATTCCTGCAGCTTTCTCTGCCTTTTCCGCAGCATTTGTTCCTAGCCCGTTTGTTTTTCTTCAAATTACAGATGCAGAGAAACCGCCTGACATCATGAGAGCAGGACAAATGTTCACTTTGAAAGGTTCCTGGGCAGGACTTCAAGTGAAATCATATGCTTCACAAGAATCTGATACTGGACTTACAGAAAATAGCTATTTGAATCTTGCCAAACCCAGGAATGTGCAAAATGCTTTAGTTTCCTACAGAAGACAGAAAAAGTATCATTGAAATGCCGATTTTGCAGTCTGGAGTGGCAGATCCTCCGGCGGAGTGGCTTGCTGGTGGATGATGCTTGCAAGAGGTGTAAAACATGAGTGCCTTAGTGCATGGTGCCACTCCAACTGGTAAGAAGGTAAAATACCTATCACCAGGCTTACAGGTAGTGCTGGATCTGGAGGTACCCAGCAAAGTACTTGTACGAAAGTAAATAAAATCCTATAATGCACAGCTGCTGAGAATATGCATTTCTTTATGTGGATTGGAGGTCATGCTGACACTTGTAGTTCCAGTGCATATGCTATCAATAGGTCTAAAACGTTAAGAAAAGAGTGCCTTAGGGCTGAGTGGCAACTGCTGGACTACAAATTCCAGCATGATTCTTCCTATGCATGCTGGGACTTTTACTTTCTGTGTAAATATATGGAAGAGTTACACATGCCTGAGAAAAAAAAACATGTATTAATGCACAATTGCCCTGCAGCAGTTCAGAAACAGTCTATGCTGCTGGCATTGCATGCTGGGAGTTTTGGTATCTCCGTAGAATTTGTCTTCAGCTTGCCTGCTGTCTATGTGCCCCCTCAGTGCAGGTACTAGGAAGTCTTTGATTAAGCATACACTTTTGCAAACAAATGCTTGAACTACTATGTTAACGACCATTGGTGCCCTGGACCCAGGCTCAACCTAATCTAATTTGCTACACTGATGTAAAGCTACATTATAAAATGTTTTTCCAAGGCCTGAGAGGTTATTTTTTTGCCATTTGATTGCCAAAGAGGCCTGTACCTGGGCTTCTTGTTGGACTGATGCCTAGCAATCTGGAAATGGCTATGAAGTAGCTTTGTATAATTAACCACCTGAGTGGGGCCACCTTTGTGTGTGTTTGGGGGTTACAAAAAACCTGTGCACACCTCCCACAGCCTATTATTAAAAATAAAATAAGAAGCTTGGATACTTCCCCATAACCTGACAGAGGAGAACAGTATGCTGACTAGACAGAATCATTATAAGAATGATTTACTAAAGAATTATATGTTTTCTGGTCCAATCAAACTGTAATTCCTCTAAATGGATGTGTTTCCCTTTTAATTTCCTTTAGCTGATTGGGTGTTTCCTAAAAAGTACAGTTGGCTGGGCCAAAGTAAAAGTGACTCCTAGGGAATCCCACTTCCTTACAACTAGGCTGATATACTAAGGGAGTTAGGAATCTTTACTCAATAAATTGTAGCTGTGTTCACTTTGAATACCAAACCATGTGCAGATGAAATAAAGAGGAATTTGCCTTTCTCATGATTGAAGTCTATTGAGTAAAAAATTCTAAACTCTTATAGTAAATCATTATCATTACTATAATGTAGTTATATCTCCCACCTAACAATATAGGTATGTGCAATATATAGATAAGAAATTATCATGTTTTAATGCCATTGTAATTGTAGGGAAACATAACAGGTTGCACGCAAATAATTAATAAATGGAATACAGCTCTGTAAAATGTATATGATTTCAAAACATGGCATTTGCGCCACTTCTACCCACTTGCGTCATTCATTTTTCTACAGTCCTTTCTGTCTTATTAAAAAATATATTTATCAGCGCACCCAGCACCCTAACCACTTTGAAGGATAAACCCAGAGTATCTGTTCTCGCAAGAACTTTACCCCAGTCTTGTTATTCTTTTGTGCCTTTTCCCTTTTGTTTTTTTGAAGCAGACCACCTAACCTCCCATCCAATTTTCAAAGTGCACGTTAATCCCATAATAAAAGCAAACTCCACTGGCGTTCTTCTGTAAACACCCCGAGCAGACTCTCAGATATGCACAATATTACATTCATAATAATGTAGTGTCAGCAATACAGTGCAATACGTGGAAAAACAAACACTGGGGCCACCACCAGACCCCAAACCCAGGCTATACAAACACTGCAATCTCCTCTAATAGACTTGGATATTTACCCAATGTATCGCCTTCTTTCACTAATAACACTGAACTTAGCACAAACAACTTCTGGTACAGAAATAAGACTGGATAATAAAGAGGAACATTAATGTTCAATAACAATACAACAAAAAATCCTATGTCATGCATCAACTTGATGTTTAGCCACATTTAACCAGTGTCATGTATGAATTGATAAATTAGACAGGCACTAGGCTTGCAATTCTTTATTTTGAAGCCTATCTGCATATTTAAAGATATTATAGCATGCAGCAACGACATACATTGGTCAAAGTAAATTATCTATTTATCTATCGACCTGTTTATCGTCTCTCTACCAATCTGTCAGCTTAATATCTAGTTAAAATTTCTACAGATCTGAGAAAAAAATACTTTTTTTTTAATCACCTCTGTTCTTTATGATTCTACAGATCTGAGAATCTGAGAACAGTACTTTTTTTTTAAATCTTCTCTGCATATATATATATATATATATGATCTATCTATCTATCTATCTATCTATCTATCTATCTATCTATCTATCTATCTATTTGCCTATCTATCTATTATCTATCTATTTATCATAGTTCTGTTCTTTCTGTCCATCTATATGCAAGGAGTTTTGTCTGCCTTGGGTTCATAATGAAGCCATTGGTAATAGCTGTGTGTCCAGAGCACCTAATATTTGTTTTTGTAAGAACAGCACAAATTGCCCTGTAAGATTGTTCAACAAAGTGTGACATTCTACACTGGCGTCCTAACTAAGCAGAAAGGAAAAGTCGCTCGTTAAGCCAGCGACCTGGGCTTGTTGGCCAGTGGATAGAATGACCTGTACATCTCCTGACATTATTTAGTGTTGTGATGAAGGAAGGCAGCCATCCTCGCCCAGCTAGTCCAATAATAAACCTTTTGCGTCTGTCAGTAGCCAGTCTATTTGCGTTTTGTGCCCGCTCTGTTTACACTGACCCCTCTCTGCTGAGCGTCTTCCCAGCTAAACAAGCAGGTACTGTATTTCCCATTAATTACCCATGTGAGGGAGGGGGGTGCTTTTTTTTTTTTTTTTTAATACAGACCAAAATGTTTCTTAATTCATATTTATTTATTGCAGAAAAAAAATAATATACAATGATATTTACAAAACAACCATAAAAATATGAATGCATTTAGACACCCGATCTAGCTGCATTATTTTTTTTAAACATGGATCAATAAATAAATAAAATGTTTACTTTGTATCTCAAAGAAAAGATAAAGAGATGCAGCCGCTGGTAATATAAAAAAAAACAAAACATTTTTTTTCTGAACAAAAGTTTTTGATAACAAAATAGTTTTTTTTTCTCCTATTAAAAGAAAACAGAGTTTGAGTTTCATTAGTAACGTCCGATAATGGGGAACGTTCCTTTAAGTGGCTTCAAAGGCACGACTGGTGGGAATGCATGCAATAAAAAAAATCATAATAAAAATGAAATGGAAATGAAAAAGGAAAAGGAAAAATTCCAACATTCTTCGTCAAAAACAAAAAAATACAGATTAGAGATTGTTCAGACTCAATTCAGAATGTAAAAAGTAGTGGTGACCCTGCAGGATTTGTGCTGGCTGGTCCCTGCTTCTCCCAGGCCTATGTCCCCGATCCTTGCTGCTCTATAAGTGCTCCCCACGCCTTGTGTCTGCCTCCTCTTCCAACGGATGAAAATCCTCGCTGATTGTTTATTTGGCTTTTATAGGTATCCAGCTCCTGTCTCTAGACTGTCCACTTCCTCCATCATTGCAAGCGGTCTCTTCTGTAAAAGGAAAATAGACACAAATGGGTTAGGGGGGCATTCATGATCTCACGGAGTTAGGGTTCTTTATACAGGCTGACATCAGAGGTAGGGGAAAATTTCGATTACATAGGACGGGAGTAAACTGTAATATAGGCTTGAAAGCCAGACCAAAATTCTACATTGGGTGGGCTCAGATCAGAGCATTGTGCAAAACAGTTTAGTAGAAGTAAGTGTACAGTAATGCTCACTAAGTGTAGGGTTAATAGAGCTGTATTATGCTGAGCATACTGTATCCGGTTATAGCTCACACTATACTGTTGTTAGGGTACAAAGATTTTTGTACAAACTGTATTTTATTGTAATTTTTTTCAGTATCTGGTTATAGCTCGCAGGAAAACAGATACAATATTACAGTACAACACACTAGAATGATTTTAGTACAGATTGTATTTTATTGTAGTGTTTTCCATATCTGGTTATAGTTAAATAGTTAGTCAGGTTGAAAAGAGACACAAGTCCATCGAGCTCAACCTATGGAGTTATAAGAGAAGAGTTCTAGCTTAAAGAAACATATTGTTGCTATATAATACAGAAACATATTGTTACTATATACTATTTTATGGTAAAACACAGTAAAACGATTTGAGTACAGAGTGTATTTTATTGTAATGTTTGAAGCATCCGGTTATAGCTCAGAGAAACATATTGTTCCTATATAATATAGATTGGTAAAACACAGTAGAAAGAGTTTAGTACAGACTGTGTTTTATTGGTATGTCTTTCAGTAGCTGGTTATAGGCCGAGGAACATATTATAATAAACGATATAATAATAAAATACAGTAGAAAGATTTTAACGCAGAATTGATTTGGTAAAGAACATGGTTACAGCAAAAAGAGTGGAATGCAAAGGTTTAGTAAGCTATAGGAGATAAGTAATAGCTAGAATAGTGCACAGAACTATGTCCAATGCCCAGCAGGTAACGGTGTGATTGTGTCCTGCAGATAATAATGGTGGAACGCAGCAACGCACATAACGGTTTAGTAGGTCACATGACTCACATAACGGTCCAGCATACAAGGCAGATAACGGTTTGCACCGGTGACAACGGGACAACAGTGCCCTATCTAGCTCAGATCATGAACTAAGAAAGAAAATACTTGCAGATCTCAGACATAGTCCAAAATGAGAGAGTTTCTAATGAAAATAGAGGCTGTAGCCACAGGCAGTCTCCTGGAAATGACAGAAATGTTTGCCTTGTTATTTTGTTAGGCTTAGCCCAGCTCTCCACATTCCCCAGTTTCATTAAGATCCCTGTTCTAGGCCCCCTGTCTATGATCTAACCTAGCATTGTTACTTCTGCAGATTGAAGCTGAAAGGAAAGAGAAAAGGGGGGGGGGGGGGAGTCACAAAGAGCCCAGGACTAGCCAGCAGGGGGTCAATTACTGCACATTGGCTTACCTGTGTGTGTATCTTGTCGCCTGAGATGGGTTAGTGAGATGCAGACATAGACCAGGCTCCCTCCATTCTCCACACTGAGAAGGCATAGCTTAACCTCTCATGGGCTACATAACTGCAGCTTGCCATTTTGGAGTCCAGCTCATCGCTCTGTAAAACCTGGCACAGGAAGTCAATGTATCTGGATGCCAGTTTGAGCGTTTGGATTTTACTGAGTTTGTCAGAGGGGAGGGTGGGGATGATCTTTCTGAGAGCTGAGAAGGCTTCGTTGAGGGATTGGGTTCTTTGGCGCTCCCTGACGTTGGCCATGACTCTCTGAGTCTGTAGCTCCTCAAAGGACTGGGGGCTGCTGCCCGTGCTGCTGGACTTCTTGTTCTTCTTTACTGATGTCGGGCTGTCGGGATCGTCTGGGTTTTTCCTACTGGATCTCTTTTTCCTGCATCCCCTCTTGCTCTGCTGCCTGTCAAGCTCTTCCTCGCTGTTGCTCAAGCTGTCCACGGGGGAGACTGGAGAGCTGGACTCTTCCTGCATCATCTTCTACCAGCACTATGGGGAGAAGAGCGAGCCCAGGCAGGGGGAAAAATGGGGGGCCACTGTGCCAACCAACAGATGTCCCGGCAGACCAGTACCACTACAAGAGAAAGGACTTCTCCAAGGTGATGGGTATCCACAAAGCCCAGCCCTATCACTTTGTCCCCAGACGCGAACGTGTTTCTGACTTGCTGCGAACTTTCCTGAGCTCTTATATTTCTTGCTGGCAGAAGGAACAGGGGGGCGCTTCCTATTGGCTGATATGCCTCCGTCTACGTCACCAGGGCCAGACACGCCCCCTCCGTCTCTAACTTTTATTAGGTTTCCGCTAAGAAGAAAAAAAAAAGAAAGAAAAAGAACAAGAAAGAAACAATTCTTTTGCCATCCATCCGAGGGATATTTTCTTAATAAATCCTACTAAATAATCCCTTCTCTGAATTCACCTGGGACACATAAGAGATGTGGCTCTGTGATCTGGAAGAAGTGTTTCCTTTAAACCTACAGGCTAATCTGAGCTGCAGCTTGGAAGACTTTGTTTTCTGAAGGGGGTAAAATAACTCAGTTTTAATTGCAGATCTGGCTTTTGGTATTATTAACACCTTCTATGATTAGGGAACTAGGAGAGGCGTTCGGGAGCACGGCACACCTGGGAGTCAAGGGGTTAATAAATAGATGCAATTATTCTTCCAGCACAACCTGATTGCACAATTGACATTCCTGCTTGTTTTCCTCATTTGGGGAGCAAGGGATGTGAAAAAAACAGCCTTTTAAAATGGTACAAGGCTCCAGAAGTCGAACTGGTTCCAAATAATGTTAGATTGGGGCAGAGAATGGACGCTGCGATTGGAGATCTGTGATTGGAATGTCCATGGATGGGGTTGTATTGTAATAACTAGGTTGGGATACTGTCATAGAGGACAATTTGTGTGATATATGGTCATTATTAGCCATAGTGAGGCTGCTTTGCTAAAGTAATTGAGGATCTTCGCCGAAAAACTTGTGGAGATATTCACTTTAATTATCCAATCATGTGAAATGCAAATTTCTGTTCACTTTGCATAGCCAATCACGTGCAGATGAAATGACAGACGGGAACTTGCTTTTCACATGGGTGAAGAGTCACAAAGCTTTAACGCAAGGGTTTTCAGCTTTGAGAATGTCATCTTCAAATCTCATTGGACTAATTAAAAACTGCAATTTTATGGTAATAAATAATGGTGTACTAGCTTTGCACATGTTATAAAAAAAACCCTACTTAATTTTCCCTTATATTCTCACTTCTCTTACCATTTCCATGTACTCCCATTTTAGGGCTGAGGTTGCTTCTAGCAACCATTCAGGTTTCCCTATATGTAGATGAACAGAGCTAAGATACATATTTGTTATAGAGAAAGGCTCTTCTTCAGCTCCACTAAACTGTTAGGTAAATGTAACACATTGCAGTCGGAAGTTTCTAATATTACACTGTGAGACGATGTGGACCTGGATGTTGCTCAGTGCCTTAACATGCCATTGCAATGTGATCAGAGTTCTGGCCATACATTATTTGGACTGTGGAAATCTAATCTCAGGGTTGATGAAACAGGGAGAAGGATTTGGACCTTTGATGCTCGGTACAAACCGTGTGAAATGGGAGGACCCGGATCAGATGTAGAAGAGGAAATGGGCTTCAGGGAAAGAAAAGTGAATATGAGATGCTAATTTATCAAAGTCAGAGCAGCGAGTATTGTTAATTGTTCCTGACAGGTCCGGTGCGGGGCTCTCAGTGCAGATCGCTGGGAAACACGATGGATTTCGCTTGTTTTTTCTCTTCTTGTGATTTTCTTTCTCGATTCATGTTATGTAATATCTTTTGGACTGCTTTCTTTCTTCACAAATATAAGCCACAAACAGAAGTATGATAAGCAAACGACCATTGCAGCACCAGTTCCTCTTAGTTCACAAAGGCCTGCTATCTATTTCTAGTCTAGCAGAGAATTTGGGATTTGGCTGGAGAAGTAAAATGTGTCTGACATGTTACACAAGAGGCAGTTGGGTTCCGCAGAGAGCCACATCAAAGTCACTTTCTTTGCCTTTAGTGTAAACTTTGACGACCTGGGACTGCCAGTACCTGCAAACTGTCAGAGCTATAGCAGGACTGAGCAATATTCCAGACTAGCCAATAAGATTTCAGATTTATCAGCTGGAGCAAACAGAAAACAGATGGTGACTTCTGATTGGTTGTCATAGTTTTCTGCATTACTAAAGGCCCTAAGTGACAAGTAACAAAATACGATTTCAAACTACAATCTGATCCAGGATGGCAACGTGTGACTTAAGAAATACAATTCCCATAAATCTGATTGGATAGTTGAAATGAACACAGGCTAAGGTAAGGGTTAATCATTAGGGCCATTCAGCTAAAGTAGTAAATAATGTCTACTTACATAGTACATAAGGTGACGCTGCTTCCATTTCAATTATCCAGTGATGTGGACATAAAAAAACGTTTGCACTTGATTGGGTATTCAAAGTGAACCCAGCTTCACCTTATTCAATAGGCTAATTGGACAGTCTCCACTCTTTACTAAAAGTAAATGTTCAGCTTATTGAATGAGATGATACTGATTACACTTTAACCATATTGGTAACACCATTTAGTAAATCAGAACGGTTTACTATCGTTTATATAGTACAGTGACTTTGTGATGACTTCAAATATCCTATAAGTGAAATGCCTGTTTCATTACCAGCCCAGGGGCCCTATCATAAATCAAAGGACAGTCAGCAATCAATCATCAATCATTTTCTGGGGTTCAGATTGCTCACCACCAGATGAAAGCTGAAATCCCATTCGCTGCTATCAGAAGATAACTATTTGAACTGTCATATTAAATAACCGGATTATTTCCTAAACCAGTTTAGAGTGTCAATAGTCTTTGATGCACATTGGATAATGTAATAATTAAGGACATCTAATGAACCAACTTTCCTCCTATGTGGCCCGACGCTCCTGTTCTGTTTGTGTTTCAGATCTTCACACGTTATAAAGCAGATTATACCTCTAATTATAATCTGTTGGGGGGG